CAACCTGGTTAATTCTATGATTCTGTATTATTAAACAGTGAAAGTGTTCATCCCAAACCGTAACTACAGTAGACATTGTGTTTGTGTTATGAAAGACTAAATATGTTCATTTACAAATGCAATTTAGGTTATCATTCAAGAGAGGTTGCAGTTTTCTTTATTTCTAATAGCGACTGGAACTTTTGTTATGCTTTGTTACATAAATTTGAAAGCTCAATTTAGAAAAAGCAGTGCTACTTGACAGATAGTGTATATCTTTTTTAACAGCAAATGCTTACTGCTTGTTTAATGACCTTTTATTTTTTTTAATTTTTTTTTCTCCAGGAAAAATCTGTCAGTGCATGGACTGAAATGGTGGTTTAGATGGGCTTGCATTAATTTGCTACTTTTCATTGTGCTGTTTTTTCTTACTACTCCTTCCATAATCATCTCAACCATGGATAAGTTCAATGTCACTAAACCTATTCACTACTTGAATGTGAGTATCACCATATGTTTGGATATAGCTGTGTATCAGACTAAAATGTTGGACCATATTGTTTCATTGTCTTGTTATACACCTATAACTTAAATTCAGTTGAAATTGTTTTATGTAGCTGATGATTAAAAATCATACATCCAGAATTGAGTCTTTAGCCCTCTTTTGTTCCTAGATAGTAGTCTGAAGTAATTTTGTCTGAACTTTTATATTATTATAATATATTTCTGTATTTGTTTGTGGTTAAAAATTGTATTCCAAATATACATAATTCTAAATTTTATAATCAAAAAAACTCTGCAAAAAATGGAATTTCAAGTCCAACATGTATTTTGATTTTTATGGTAAGAAGAGGGGGAATTCAGATTTTAAACTCTGAAGTAAAATGTTTTTATTTTGCTTATTGGGTTCAAAGCGAGATGGCATGTTTATCTGGTCCCAGTTTGCAGCTAAAGTCTCATGCAAACTGTTCTTTCTAAATACTTCCCCAAGATGGTGTAAACTATGTAAAACCTGCTTTAGTTCCCAATCCCGCTCTGTTTTTTTGTCTTGCACACCAGTGCTAAGCACTCGCTCAGTTTCAAACTATCTGAATATAATTTCCACAGTCCATCCTGCTGTAATTTACCAAATTGTAATCTCCGTTCTACCACAGCTGCATTAAAATATTAATACTTATTTTTACTTTTCCCCCCACCAGAATCCCATCGTCAGTCAGTTTTTCCCAACGCTCTTGCTCTGGTCCTTCTCAGCTTTGCTACCAACAATTGTCTATTACTCAACTTTGCTGGAGTCCCACTGGACAAAGTAAGCAGGATTTTTCTTTGTTTTGGTCTTAAGAGCTGAATTGCTAAAATAAATAAAGTGCTTATCTTTCATGGAGCTCTTAAATCCGCAGACCTCTTTTATCGGGGAATGTCGTCTTCTTGTCTCTTTCTTGGGTTATAACCAACACTTTGTGGTTTAAGTAATTTGCAGCCTACATCAGGTGTAATTTGACCACATGATTTGCTTATACTTCCCCCTGCTCCTTCACTGCCTTTTTGTGTTTAAGCAGAAAAAGATGTGTGAATAGACTGAGGAGATCTAGCTTGAACAGGAGCCTGGGAAATGCCTCAGATCTTGCAACTGTCTCACTCTCTGGGGAGATAGGCCATATGGGTTTGGATCCCCTCCAGGTAGAGAACATCACAGAACCCTAGAATAGCACTTGACAGCAAGTACTCAGCTGTTGGCATGCTACTTATAAAAAGGGCATCCATATTTTTGTGTTTTGGTGTGACAAAAATGGTCTGGATGTAACTCTTGATGCACAACTCAGTTGCTGTTGGGTATTGTTAGTTGTGATCTGAGAAGTTCTATGGGGCCAAGGCCCAGGAGATGTGTTGGTGCAGATTTTCAGATGTAACTGCTGCACTCCAGAGATGTCAAGGCCAGTGATGTGCTGCTGACTTTGAGGACTCAGTGCAGCTTTATTTGGAATACTAGATTTGATGCCTGGTTTACCTACAGTCAGATAAAAGCACACTACTGCACACAGAATCCCAGCTTCACTCAGTCTTTATCCATAATGCCTGCAGCCATTTCTTTTGCTTGCTTCTATGTTCTGTCAATTTTTTTTACTTTTGAATTTTTTGTACTGTTCCTTTCTAAGACATCAAGTCCAGAATCTACTGTTTATTCAGTTGTATGCTTTCCATCAGCTCTTTTCAACTCGGGGTTTTTGGGGGTGTTTTTGGTGGGTTTGGGGTTTGGTTTTTTTTTGTAGTTCCACTAAACACATGAAATTTGAGCCCTTTTCAATGAGCCAAAGTAGTTTTTCAAAGTCACTAGTGATCACAGATCTGATTTCAAGCTTTGGTGTAGTTACGCCAATATGTCTCACAGTGCCCAAGGGCTACATGATCCTCTAGCCCGTAAGTTGGCAGGGCTGGGCAGGAGGGCTTCAAACTAGGCTTGAAGGGGGAAAGGCTTGAAACCAGGCTTCCTAGAGATGAGCCTCAGGGTGAGAGGGGTCTCCCCTCAGGGGAGACCTTATGACCCTCTACAGCTACCTGAAAGGAGGTTGTAGTCAGGTGGGGGTTGGTCTCTTCTCCCAGGCAACCAGCAGCAGGACAAGAGGGCACAGACTCAAGCTCTGCCAGGGGAGATTTAGGTTAGATATTATTATATTAGGAAGAGATTTTTTATGGAGTGAGTAATCAGGCATTGGAATGTGCTGCCCAGGGTGGTGGTGGATTCCCCATCCCTGGAGGTTTCAAGCTGAGACTGGATGTGGCACTTAGTGCCATGGTCTAGTAACCACGGTAGGGTTGGACTCCATGGTCCTTGAGGTCTCTTCCAACCTGGTTGATTCTATGATTCTATAATAAAACCTCTGTGGTTTTAAAGCCCTATCAGATACCACCTTTAGCAGTCTGAATTGTTTGTAGCAATCACAGCACGTTTCTGGCAACAGTGCCACTAGATGGATGTTCCTGTTACTCTAGTAGGGGTATAGCATTAGTAGTGTCATGTTGTTCCTGAAGACTTGACGCTTGGCAAGGATAGTCAAGTAGCTTGTCTAAGTGTCTGGTTTCTTGGCAGTGGTGCCCTTTTATGAACTGCCTAATCTCTCTTGGCATGACACTCAAAGAGCTGTTTGTTTACAAGCTGTTGTAAGATAGAGTATCACTGGAGGAGAGATCAGCTCTGGTTGTCACACATCCCTGTGCCTGTGGTGCAGACCTGTAGTGATGCTAATCCAGAGTCTGATTTAATGTTCAGAAATCTTTTCCTTGCCCAAGAAGATCCCAAAGGTCTGCTTGGTCCAAATTGGTGAATATCTCAGAGATAGTTGTTTTGTGAGTATCTTAGCAATGAGATATGGTAGGGGAAGCTGGAAGTCTGATGGTTGCTGACATTCTCTGGGAAGATTCTTCATATGTGGAAGTATTTTGTATGAGTTTCTTACTCAGTTAAATTTTATGTTTGTAGATCTGCAGAGAACAGAATAATGATGCATAAAGTCTACATATTTTTGATCTTCATGGTCTTGATTCTGCCCTCCCTTGGTCTAACCAGGTAAAAAAATCATAGTTTCATGGAGTAATGGTTGAGTATTTTTAACATGAGACATCTTACTTGTGTTTTCTAGTTGAGGTATAGTTGATGTATCCCCTCTTCCTCCAGTGTGTGTGGTTATAATACCACTGTGCATTAGATTTCAATGTTCCACTTCCATCTGAGGTCCTCACAGCCCTTGAAGTTTCCCAAGTCTGGCTTTTCTTGTTACAGAGAAATTCAAGACCTTGTAAGATCAGTGACTAATTCAAAGTTGCCCATAATCACACTCGTAGCTGAGAACCCAGTTTCCTGACTGTGCCTGACTTCAGTTAGAGTTGTCATTTTCTTTCCACCTTTACAGTATTTGACTGTTTCCCTGGCTAACCTGGTATCATGTACTTGTCCTATCTGTATAATAAGTGCTGAAAATCAATCATTAAAACTTTAGTATGAAGTAGATGTTTCTGTTCTGTTTGATTCTGTATCTTTTTTTCCTATTTCTAGCTGTCAGTAACTGTGATAAATCTAAAGTAGTATTCAGATTATTTGATTAAATTCTCTCGATCCACTATCCTGATTTGTAACTACTTAAAAAGAGAAGTAATTTTACACAGTACTAAGCTGTTGGAGACTGAATTACATTAACCATCTTTCTTGCAGCCTTGATTTTTTTTTCCGCTGGCTGTTTGACAGAGAATCATCTGATTCTGCAGTTAGGCTGGAGTAAGTATTAGCAACTCTTTACTAAAGGAATACCTAGGACTTTGATTTTTTTTTTTCTGTTGACTAGCCTTGTTAATGTATATTAAAATTTGCTCGGGGTCGTTACTCTGTGGGATGATGTTGAATTTCTGAATAAGGAGAGGAGAATGCAAGTGATTTTGCTGTGAACAAATCCATACTTTTTTCCTGCTAGCTAAGGTATGCAAACTTTCAGTAAAGAGACAATTATTTTCCCAAAACCTTACAAATTTTGTAGGTGACAAGAAAGAATGGGATAATACAATGCAGGTGAGAAGGGACTAGAAAATGTACTGGGGTTTGTTGCTTATGATGGATGGGATCTTCCCAAGGAGTACAGTGAAACCAAATAACTGCAGCAGTTCTTTCTAGAATCCAGTGACACTTGATTTTAAGAAACATGTACATTTTACACCAGCATTGCAAATTTGCAGATACTAGTTATTTTAAGCTCTTGTGACTGTGCCGGAGGTAAAGAATAGAATACAATTATTAGTACATAGGTTTCCAAATGATGTTCCAAAATCAGTAACAGGAAGATAATTAGGAGTTACTAAGTTAGGAGAGACAGTTACTCTCTTGCAGTCTTAGCTGTGTCAGGTTGCTATTGCAGACATCAAATTTTGCTCGTCTGCTATCAGCCACCCATCAGACTTCTCTATCTTTTTGTGAACAGTTTATTCCTCATCTGAACTGCAGCTCAGCCAGACCCTCACAGTGTACCTCACTCACTGCAATTATAGCTATGCAGTACTCTTTTTCAACGGAGTTACGAGAAGTCTTCTAGCCACTTCCTGTGGCTTCTAGTACTTATCCTTATGCCAAGAGATTTTCAAAGGCAGTAGGGATCCATTGTATACATGCTGTATTTGCTTGTCTACTTCCCAGTCAGTGTGTGGTATCTTTCCTTGCAGGTGTGTCTTTTTGCCTGATCAGGGAGCCTTCTTTGTGAACTATGTGATTGCCTCAGCCTTTGTTGGCAACGGGATGGAGCTGCTGCGCCTGCCAGGCCTCATCCTTTACACCATACGCATGATAATGGCCAAGTCCACAGCAGAAAGGAAAAATATTAAACAGGTATTAGAACCCTTCCTTAGCAAGAGGCAATTAAATGATTGAGCCTTGTCAGAAACAGTAGGAGTCTTCATTCTTCATAACAGTAACTCCAGTCTCCTGACATTTTTTTTTTTCCTTTCTTTCGCTTATCTGCAACAGGTTCATATTCCTTTCATTTGCAGCACAGATAATGGGAAGGTATTTATTCAAGTCAGAGATGGTCAAAAATCAAAACCTAAGATCAGAACTTCAGATATTATTCTCTTCATAGTTCTAAATCAGAGTTTTATGATTTGGATTTTATAGGATAATTCTGATTTTATCTTATAGTCAACTTCCAAGGTATTTTTTAAATTCAAATCTGTCTGTAGTTAGTTTCTTCTGTCAGCCCACAGGTGTGTACAACCTTAATCTGAACATACACCTAGCAAAATATATACTTATTGCCTATATTGAATTTAAGTGGTGGACTTTCACTTCCAGGTCATGTGTCATCTTGCAGCTTGAAATTCCAGGTGTTACAATGGGAACTTAATCCTGCATACAGCTGCCCCTGTTCTTATTCCCATTTTTTCTTTTTTTTTTGTCTTATTCCCATTTTTTCTTTTTTTTTTTTTTTTTGTCTTAATTGGTCAGTAGGTTCCATTTTTAGAAGATACTTCTACTTCTGTTAACTTGTCCATATTACCCCTTGCTCTGGTTGAAATGACATACAGTGATTTCCTCATCTCAAGAGGAAAACGTGAATACTACTG